GTTGTAATGTGACAAAATATGGAAAAGTTCAAGGGGTATGAATACTTTTGCAAACCACTGTATATGCACATGGGAAACAATACACTAATAAAACAAACGTTAAATGAAACAAAAAAATTGAATTCCCATGGAATTCAGTGGTTAAAATGACAGTAAGTTATTTTTAAAACAGTATGGGTTTTATGCGGGGGTGGGGTCCCTGGAAAATTTTCACCTTTGTAAGGGGTCCCCAGACCCACAATGTTTGAGAACCCATGGGTTAGGCTATGGAAACAAGTCTTTCTTAAAAACAACTTTTCATGAGAGCCTTTAACAGAACCTGGTCCATGTTGTTACATGATACTGAGTATGGATTGTTGGTTCTTAGTGCCGAGGCTACAAATCTCTCAGTTTTCCTGGTTTCTTATGGAACAGAAAACATACATGTTGGTTTAATTCGTAACTTTTTATTGTTACTAGACATGAGTGAGTTTTATCCTCTAATCTTCTAATTSTGTTKSTTTCATTTCAGTTTATTTACATGAYAATATTTCACAACYAAGATCTGCAGGGCACAAAACAAAAGAGAAACCAAATCCAGATTATAAATCCACATCAATTAAAAATAGATCCAGATTAAATCAAGCTGTAACACAATACAAACACATACAGTTTGCTCTGAGTTATTAAATATTAAAAGTTATTGTGTCGAATTTTCACTTACGTTTTTAGGATTACAGTTGTTTTTAATAAGCCAAAGAAACCAGGAGCAGCAGTTTAAAACCTGTCAAAAATGTAATTAAACTGTTTTTTTTTTTTCAGAGAGGCCAGTCTTCATCAAACAGCCAGTGAACCAGGTGGTGTTAGCAGARGACACGGTGGAGTTCTTCTGCGAGGTGCACGGAGATCCACTTCCAACAGTCCGCTGGCGGAGAGAGGAGGGAGAGCTGCCGCGAGGAAGGTACAGAACCCCAACAAATCTCACTTTTACTGTTTGCTGCTGGTGCATATATTTATTACTACTYTTACATTAAATAAATAGAAGAGATCATAACTGTGATGTTGCTGGAGAGGTGGTGGATTTTAATAAGTTGTACTTCTTCCTTTGAACATTTATTATTATGTATTGTATTACTGTCATTTTATTTGTAATTTCTTACATTCAATAAACTTCGAAATACAAATATAAAAACATTATACCCATAGTAAGGATGGTAACTGTAATATAACAGCTTCCTGCCTGAGAGCAACATCTCTGCACACCTGCTTTTCTTATTTATCACCAAACACGCAGAGGAAAACACCTGAAGAACTTTATTAGTCATGTTAGATACTGATTTTAAAAGCACTACACCATTTTCTTAGTTTTCCTTTTTAAGTATTGACTTTTATAATCCATAATTTGACTATTGTTATGTCTTGATTAAAATAGTTTAGATACATGCCCGAAACACCATCACAACACATAAGAAACCGTTAATCAAACAAAATTTTTTTGTCTGAGTGTCTGCGATTCAGCCGTAGTCCAGTAGTYGGCYTACCAGGCACTGAAGAACATGTATAAATATGCCGGAACTTCCGGCTTCTTGTCAGCGTAGGTTTCCTATCTGCACAGACAGATTAAAACGGCGTTCTCTCCAATCACTGGTGTTGGATGGTTTCATTCTCGTCACATTTAATCTATTCAGCATTTATGTGGTTTCGTCTCGATTCCAGTTTAACGAACACTAAATTTTCTTGCACACCCATGATGTTTTTTTTTCTTTAAAAGAAAATGTGTAAATTGCTCATTTTAGTATTTTTACTTTTACTTAGTTGTTTCTCTCAAGTACTTTATACACTTCTATTGAACGGTTATTTCAACCAAGTTGTTCTTTTCCTGGTACTTCAGTAATCTTGTGTATTTTGTTTGGGTTCCTTAATGGTTTCAATATGAAAATTCTCTGAAACTTCAGCGTTTAATGAAACATTCTGGGTTCAACCTTTTTATCTTTAATGTGTTTCCAGATTTGAGCTTCGCAGTGATAACAGCCTCCGTCTGAGCCAAGTCCGAGCAGAGGACGAGGGCTCTTACACCTGTGTGTCTGAGAACAGTGTGGGGAAGGCCGAGGCCTCTGGCACGCTAACGGTGCACGGTAAGACACGCAGTCGCTGCTGCTTGTTGTGCCACAGCTGGAGCTGSAGCTCAGGCAAAACTTATAAATAACTTCATGTGAAGGGTGCACTTCTTTAAAATGTGGGAAGTARGTGGTGTGGCTGACTCTCAGCTACTACCYCACCAAGTCTGGCTGAGTTAGAACCAGTTTATGTTTCCCAACATCAGCTGGCTGTGGCGCCCATCCTGAATAAGGTTCACTTCCAGCTGTAGATGTTTCTCCAATCATTTTCTTCTGAGAGTTTTAATAAKGTCTATCCAGTGCTTTGTGAGATATTTTGCTAACACAAACAGACAAAGGCTATAGCTYCATGAATGATGTGTGAAAACCAACAAACGTTTTCAACCTTCWATAAAATATTGTCTGCTGCTGAATTTATACCTGCCAACACTTTCCACAGAAAGTTTCTCTAATCAAACATTACAAAACGAATCATCTTATTTTATTATTCTGATCTGATTGATTTTGTTTGTGTAACAGACGAGTTGAGATGTTGGGAAACTAAAACTAAATCTAATGATTTTCAAATCTCATTGTAAGAACTCATACATACACAGATATGAGCACAATGCATGCAATATCGCTTCTCAAGCGAAACACGGTTGCTGCTTTTAGAGCTGACGGCGCAGCCTCTCCAGCAGAACCTCTCCTGTCTGCACGGCGGCTAGACAGTACCAGAACCGGACCGCAGCGGGTCCAAACGCACCTTTGCCAGGATAAACAGATTTTAACAGGACCAAGTCTGCAGTACTTTAGAACTGTATTCTGAACACTCAAGCAAAGCCATTTTTTCTTTTAAAAAACCAACATGCCGATGTGGAAAA